TGATAGGAACACCTTAACGACCCTAAACGGGATATTGCTTTTGACACTAATATTGCAATACTATTTATACCCTACACCACTTCAGTGGGAAGGGTATATTGGGTTTGTGCTGATGTTTGTAACGCACAATGATATTGGACCTATACCCACCTTAAAGTATACCAATCGGCTCAGAATCATTTTCTGAGTCGATTTAGCTATGTCCGTCCGTCTGCCTGTCCGTCCGTCCATCCATGTAAACCCTGTAATCAAACTACAGGTCGCAATTTTGAAGATAGTTCAATGAAATTTGGTAAATGATCTTCTATTGTTCCAGGGACGAAGCCTATTGAAAATGGTTAAGATCGTTCCATTATTTCACCTAGCCCCCATACGACTGAACCCCCCGAATAGGGCTTTTAAACTTTGTAATCAAACTACAGGTCGCAATTTTAGAGATAACTCAATGAAATTTGGCACATGATCTTTTATGGTACCGTAGACAAAGTCTATTGAAAATGGTTAACATCGGTCCATTATTTCACCTAGCCCCCATACAACTGAACCCTCCGAATAGGGCTTTTAAGTTCATAATTATTATTATAAGCTATATGAAAATTAATAAAATTGTTTTTATTTAAAAAAGGTGGGTGTGTTTTTTAGTATTTTCTCACCACTACAATAACAGTTTCTTAGCGTCTCTCTTTCTGCGCTTGGCTGGTTTAAAACTATCTGATTTCAATATTAAATATCTTATATGGGCAATTTCGTGTCGAGTGACCCAAGTCAAAAAATAATTTATGTATAATACAGTAGTATTAATTTCAATATAATGATTCCAGACCTAAACGCGCAAATAGTTTAAAAAATATTTTAAGTTAAGATTTAACTCAAATCTAAATAGGTTAAAAATGCAATGTTCATCAAATGAAAGCCGAAATGTACAACTTGAAAAAGTCCTTAAATGCTTATATCTCCTAAACGAATTAAGAGAGAGTCGAAATTTAATATAAAAACATTTTTAATTAAACATATTAGACTTTTTTTAAAATAATGGAAATGGAAGCCGTTTAGAGTTAACATATTCCTAAAATAGTATTTTAATGTAAAATATGACAACTTACTTCTTAATTTTATTTATATAATCCTTCCTTATACTTTTTGGTATATATTTAATAAACTTTTTATTACTTAAGATTCACAATATTTTAATTACACTATTTTTCTATGAACATTAAATTCAATAACTCATTTAAGTTTTACAATGAATAATTAAAACTGAACATGACTGAACAAAACACAAAACATCACTGAACTAAGCAAAACTTCTGCATTATTTATTTTTTTTTCACGTTCACGCTAAAAAATGGAGTATTTATATTTTTTTGTTTTTGTACTCTTCTTACTATCATCCGGAAGTAACCTAAAAGTATACTTCCAGACGGCGAAAACTAGAAATCAATGTATTTTGTTTTTGTAAAATGTGTGCTCTCGTCTGACAATTGTGCAGAAGTGACTACAATCCACACTTCCAGACGAATAAAATACAACATTAATGTGAACACTCTTCAAACTGTCTTCCAGAAGTGACATAAACATACAAATCAAGAAGATACAAATTAGGAAACAATGTATTTTGTTATTATAAAATGTGTGTTCTCACCCAACTCTCATACAGAAGTCACTAAAACGTATACTTCCAGATGAAAAAAATTCAACAGACATGGTTTTTTGTTTAAGCAAAATGGATGCACTCTTCTAACTATCATCCGGAAGTAACTTAAAATCATATTTCTAGAAGACAAAAATTAGAAATCAATGTATTTTGTTTTTGTAAAATGTGCGTTCTCGTCTGACAATCGTCCAGAAGTGTTTCTGACGTGGCGTCTGGGGTGATGCGCAATAGTTTTGTCTTTTAAATGTTTGAAGGGAGAGAACCGTATTCAACCCTACAAGCAAGAAGATACGAAAACGATACGAATTCGTATTGCTTAGAAGAAAAAAATTATTGCGGCAACAATCATATTCGTATTGCGGAAGATACCTCCTTCGGGAGAGATTGTGCGGCCAGGGGGATACTTCTAAGCAATACGAAAGCAACACTAGAAGACAAAAAAGAGACATTGCTAGATAATCAGCATGGTGAAAATAAGAAGATATCTTCAGATAATCGTCTGGAAGATATATTGGAGATATTCTCCTATTATCTTTAGGAAGAAAAGTATAAGAAATTAAAAAATTGGCAATTTGAAGACACATTTATTAGTGTTAGCAATAAAATATTACAATATGGAAAATATATTAATATAAATATGTCAAACTAACGTTTCCCCAGCACAATTTTGTTTTACCCACAGGAAGATTCTTTTAATATTGATTTCTTTTAAGTACTCTGAAAACCAAAACATCATGACTATCCATTTTTTATGTGAAAATAAAGATAAACTTACATTTTTCCAAGCATAAATTACCATTGTAATGATGTCGTCTTGATTTATCGCGTATTAACTTATTGTATTTATTTAAAAAAATTAGTTTTTTTCTTATTTTGAAAATATTTTGAAGTTTGAAAAAAATATTTTTATTGCTATAATACCATCTATGCGATAACATAACGATATCCTAAACGTATTGCGTAGGATGAAAATCCTCTTACAGAAATAAATACAACAATTTGGCAACAAAAAATACTTTACAAAATCAAAAAAATATTAATTTAAATATTTTCATTGTTTATTGCCGATTTTACTTTTAAATATTAACATTGCGATATCAAAAAAATATTGCTTGGATGATTTTCTTCCAAATTATAAAAATTTAATATTGCTTTGATATCTTCTATGGACGATATCTTCCAAATGTTTGTAGGGAAGTCAACATTTGTATTAGTACACTGTAAAAAGTTGTTCATAAACAAAATAAAATATTTTGCGTGCAAATACACCTTTAATGTACATAAACATAAATTAATAAATTATTTCAATAATTTTTTTCAATAAAGCGTGGAAAAATAAAATGTAAGATGGAAACAACTCCCAGCAAAAAATAATTGATGTCATACTTTACAAACAACATCTTTATCACATATAAAAATACGATTACATATTTTTCGCTTTTATGAACCAAGTATTTCCTTACAAATGAAAACCCAGTTAAGCTACGTTCACACCTATCAAATGTTTGACGAAAGACGTGACCCCTAAAAAATCTACATTTTGATTTCCTTAAAATATATATTTATTTGCACAAACATAATATATCTTTGACGACATCAGTTCAGAACGTCGTTATTATTTGTTTCGACAATATTTGCAATTACAAAAATCATGCAGAATTAAAAAAAAAAATTACAAAAATTAGTGTTTACGTCTTTTTCATCAAATGTTTGATAGGTCTGAACGTAGCTTTAAAATATAGGAAAGAGTTATAGAAAATTCACTACAATTCAGATTAAAAACCAATGAAATTTACATAAGCGTGTCATTGAAAGAATGGGGTTTATTTTTAACATCCAAATATTGGATTTTTACTGCTTTTAAAAATAAGATTATTATAACAAGATATTGCGTTTAGACGATCCCATCCGTACTCTTCTACGCAAAATTTTGACAGCTCATATTATTTGTGTGCCCGTGTAAAGGGGACTTTATTATTTAGGTGTTTATGATAAATACCCGATAAAAATTAGAGATTACACTCATTCATTCGTAATTCAAACTGAAGTACGTACAGCTGTGTAATTCGCAGCTGAAATTTTTTATGGTCTATCACGTCATTCAGTATGTAATTGCATCATGTGAATGGGGTATTAGCTTCTGCCTTTTCTAGCCTTATTTCCTCTTTCTTATTTAGCCTCAAAAAGGCAAACAATTTAGAATTTTTATTATATATTCAAGAATTTATAATAAGAATATTTACAAAAACATTCAGTTGATTAAAAGTTTTTGTAACAAATGGATTATTTATTTGTTCTCAAATGAGGTACAATTTTAGACAAATTAATTTTATACTACGTTCACACATTCCTGTTCTTTGAAACAAATCATGTTAAAAAAAATACTTAAATTAAAATATATTTTTCATGTTCAAAAACATCTTAATACGACGTGTTTAATAACTAATTTAGTTACTAAACGAAAAAAACATTATGTGTATTATAACTAAACTTTAGTTATAAAACACATAATGTGTTTTTCGTACTTTTGTTTAATAAACAGCTTAATGCTATGTTTCCATTGGCTTCAAATCTACCAGATTTGCGTAAACCTCTTCGAGGTGTTTCCACTGAGCTTACTCGTTTTTGAGATTTGAATTTTCGAACAAATCCATATAACGAAAATAAACATTTTTTTTAATTTAAACATTAAAAATACAAACTTACGGTTTGAATTGTATAAATTTATTTATTAAATGCCAACAATTTTAAAATTATTATTTGTTCTTTTTTTATTTTGAAATAATTTTCGATGAAAACATTCAATTTGTATGGATAGCCTATAGTCGAATTTGCTTATCCTAGACACAACGCAGTGTTGCATAAGCAAATCTTGTTCGAAAAAATACATTTTCGACATGTTTTAAATCAAATCTAGTAGATTAAGTAGATTTGGATTTGCAAAAAATGTATGGGAAATCTACATGATTTCAACTAGTTTTGCACAAATCAACTAGATTTGCTCAAAACGCCTCAGTGAAAACATAGCATAAGCAAAAAGTAAAGTCAAAATTAAAAATTTAAATTACAAAAAATATTAATTTTGTTGTTGAGAAGAGTTACATTTAGAAAAACATTGGATTATGGTATGCACGACTATTATTTTTCACTTATTTTAATACAGATTTCTAAGGTATAAAATTTAGTTTCCTTGCCTGTTTTAATGTCCAGTTTAGCCTTTTATGTTTGAAGCTCCTGGCAACACTGGTTGGTACTATTTCAAAATTTAAATTTTCCATGCTTGGCTTAGAGCTTTACATTAAAAATACGTGTTTTTGTCATAGTCCTTTCTTGGTGCTTTTTTAAATAATAAGTTGACAACGCTGAGAAATTATATCAGCTGTTAATATTAATGATTAAAACAATCTACTAAAATAGACATTATTAGCTCGTATATTTTATTTTTTTGAGTAAAGCTGATCTATTAATAAATTAAAATGGCTTTAAATGGTTTTTTGGATTTCTTTCAAAAGGGCAAAGTATTTATAACATTTAGGCTTTCGAAAAGATTTACTTTAATTTACATTTCTATTTTGTAGACTTTCAGGCCAAAGAAGAGGTTCACAGCCGGTACAATACGTTATTCACTACATAAACAAGCTCAAGCAAGTCTTCAATCAGGAATTAATCTTAGACATGTTGTTCGCCTTCCAGAAGGAGAAAACTTGAACGATTGGATAGCAGTTCACGGTAATCAAATTTTTCCTTTAAAATTAAGTTTTACTTCTCTAAATTGTAATAATTGGGTAGTCTACAAGGAACCAATTAAATATTTATGAATGGATTCAGCTGATGATCCGTATTTTTGAGATTTATTTGCATCCATAGGGGCAGTTTTTAATTTAAATCTAGTTATATTACTTTTCACATCAATGAATTGTAAATGTGTGAATTACACAGGCCAACGATGAAAAAACGTTTGAAATAATTTTCACTAATTCTAGTATTATTTGGTGTGCTGATTCCGAGTATTGTAATAAAAAAGTCGTACCAGCCACCAATTTTCCACATTTTAATTTTTTAGTCCTTCTGACTGTATGCTTGAGTCCCAAATCTAAATTCTGTAATTTTTCAGGTGTTGTGAATAGTGGCTGTCTCTGCCTCTAGACTTATAAAAATTAATTTTGAAAAATTCGGGCGATAGGACTACGTTAACTAGTGGCGTCACGGCTCTGAAGTAAAAAATGTTTTTTGGAAAAATGTTACCACTTTTATCACTTTTTAAAAGTTATTACAAATTCGTCCGATCCCTTAGTGTCCCAAAACACTTATCTGAGAAATATTTAAAAAATTTACTTTAAATACATTAATGTGTAATAAATTTGTAAAATTTGTATTACAATTGTGCATAATATTTTTCTAATAACTATAGCCTGACAAGTCATTAGGCGTCATTTAGTTGTCATCATTATTGACTGACTGCTGAAAATTGCTGCTGACCTTCCATTGAGTGTCATAAGGTTTTTGCTAATACTCTTCATTTGAACATCTTTATGATATGTCATAGATTTGTCCCTAATGTTGACATTATGACGATTTTGACCTTAAGAAATTTTACTAAATATATGAAAATGTCAGGGGATGTCATGAAGTTTTTTGTATGGGAACTAGTGACTAATTCATCAGGGATTCTGTCGACGTTTTAGGAAAATTCAAACTGGGTTCCTATTAAATTAAATGTGAGTTTTTATCCCCATTAGATAGCGTAAACCGTATTTGGGGTATAGTCATAAATGGAAACCCTTCAGACGGCAGTTTCAAAAATCCAGTTTCAAATTTTTAGTAGTTTTGTTAAGCAAATTTTAAAATTTTGAGAAAATCTCTATGTGCCGCATGGACAATAAAGAAGTAAATAAATTAGGTTGATATCTCTCACATATTAGCGTTACCTGCAAATTTCGGAGAAAACAATTTTTTGTCAAAATTTTAGGAAAACAGGTTTTATTCTTTACTGTCCATTTTATGAAACTTTCAGATAATACAATTTAAGATAATATGGCACATACATGAAGTTTTAATAAAATCTAATAATGTTATTCCATAAACTGTGAAGGTCAAACTCAAGCCATGCAATATTGGGAAATGCTATTGAAACTACAGTGAAATATTATTTTGTTTTCAACCGATTTAAATGAAACTTAGGATAAATATATGTATAATGAAGACCCGTATTTTTGATGACACCGAAAAAATTTAAATTAACCTTAAACGTAAATATATTTATATAATTATATAAAATGTCCGTAATATATGAACAAAATATTCGTTCTTATTTTGCGAGGAAATGGTGGGTGATAAAAAAAAAACAGATTTCAGTTTTGGTTTTAGAAGCTAAAAATACATTAAAAATAGTCCAATAAGTTTTAAAAGTTTTCACAAACCTTCATTTCGTTGGCCTGTGTTAAGTTCTGATGGCGCTCATCGGTATAGAAATAAAGGAATGAAATCAGCAAATTTTAAATGGTTAAGACAATTTGAATGAACGCGCAAAGATGAAGTATTGTCGAGTTTAAGTTTGGAATTTGGATCTCGTGGGACAACTAGGGCAGCGGCTAGGGGTTCCCAAAGTAGGACACCTTTTAAGCCGATCGTATTCCGATTTCTAAACTCCATATATAGAATCTCCCTATTGAGCACTATAAAAAACCTCGTCGTAACTATAAATGATCTCTTATTAAGGAGATATTCTTTTTTTATTTATTTATTTACATCAATACATAGAAAGCCATCTTGGCCAATAATACATGTATCATTAGATCTATATTCATGTAATAAAATTTATAATTATATATAATAAATATAATTACAAATTAAAAATAAATTCTATTTGCATATACATATATACATAAGTGACTTCCAGCCGAATAAATTATTTCCAAATACAATTAAAGAAAAAAACAAAGTATAACAAGTAGTCCGACTCTCATATATAGGAAATTACTCTCTCCTTGCCTTTTTTGACCACTTTTAAGGATCGTACGCGAAATTTTAGCTATCTATAAAAAATCTGTAATTTTTATACCCTCCACCACCATCAGTGGTGATAGAGGGTATATATAATTTTGTCATTCCGTTTGTAACACTGAGAAATATTCATCTGAGACCCAACAAAATATATATATTCTTGGTCCTTATGAAATTCTGAGTCGATTTAGCTATGTCCGTCTATCTGTCTGTATAAAACACGCTCACGTTAAAACGAAGCAAAGTAAATCAATCAAATTCAACTAAAATATTCATTATTATCCTAAGCAGTTTGGTATTGAAAATGAGCAAAATCGGTTCACACCGGGAAAAGTTATGAATCAAAATTTAAAGCAACCTCGAAAAAAATAAGCATTTTTTACACATTTTGATGTAATTTTCTCGAAAACTATGCAAGGTACTTCCATGAAAATCACCACACATTCGTTTCTGTATAAGATCTTGATTCTTGCTGAAAATTGTAAGAATAAGTCCACAATTTCATATACCTCCCATACAAAAGTATATATTCCCGGAAAATGAGTTTTTTGTTAATAACTTCCGTCACAATGTCGATATCTTCACAAAACTTTACAAATTAAAATCTTATGTCAACAGAATTGATCCAGAGAAAAACTTTTTTGGATCGGTCCATAATTGGTCATAGCTCCCATACAAGGTCCCCTCCCCAAAATCACTTAAACGCACAAATTTCATTACTAAATTAAGATATCCATATAAAATTTGGTACAAGTATTGCTCTCACATACAGAAATATTGTTACGATTTTTTTTTCCGATCGGTCCATAATTGATCACAGCTCCCGTACAAGGTCCCCTTCCGAAAATCACTTAAAGGCACATAACTCATTACTAAATTACGATATCCATATAAAATTTGGTACAAGTATTGCTCACATATACAGAAATATTATTATGGAAGTTTTTTCCGATCGGTCCATAATTGGTCATAGCTCCCATACAAGGTCCCCTCCCGAAAATCACTTAAACGCACATAACTCATTACAAAATATTGATATCCATACATTTAGCACAAATATTGCTCCTATATACATAAATTAAACTATAAAATTTATTATAAGTAGAAATTTATAACCGATTATGGCCTATATAGGCTAGGTTATTGAAATAAAGAATTTGAAATTGAAAAAAAAAATTGTTTGCAATCGGTCCATATTATTTGGTCATAGCTCTCATACAAGGTCCCCTCCAGAAAATCACTTAAATGCACAATATTCATTGCCAAATAATGATATAGACACAGAATTTTGAAATTTTGTCTTTATATACATAATTGGTCATAGCTCACATACAAGGTCCTTTTACGAAAATCTCTTAAACGCACATTACTCATTACCAAATAAAGCTATTGATACAAAATTTGGCACAAATATTAGTTTGTTATACAAAAATTCTATTTCAAGGTTTTTTCACGATCGGTCCATAACGTGGGTGCGGTCTGTCCCATGCAAGTGTCCCTTTAGAAAATCACTTGAACACACATTACTTATTACTAAATTACGATATAGATACAAAATTTGACTGAAATATAGTTTTTATGTACAGAAATTTTGCTTAAAGAATATTTTACGATCGGTCTATAATTGGTCATATCTCCCATACTAGGTCCTGCCCCTAAAAGCGCTTTAAACGTATTTAACTAGTTATCATTAGCATTATCAATTTGTGTAGAACAAAATTATATATATGTATTTGGAAAATCCTTAAATCTTTCACACACGCATACATGCAAATTACTAAATATCGCTATAAAAATACATATAAAGAAAATGGTGTTTGTAATGTTCAATAAATCTTGGAATTGTAATAGATTTAAGATGTTTAAATGGGATTTTTTCTATTTAAGACATAAGAAAACTTATTTCTACAAATATTTGATCAATTAGAAAAGTATTAATATAAAAGTAGCTGGTGGAGGGTATTTAAGATTCGGCTCAGCCGAATATAGCACTCTAACTTGTTTAAAATAGATTCATCGCACTTTTCACATAAAATATTGTTTAATTTTCTTAATCTGGAAAAAATATATATATTTTTTTTTTCTATTTATTGACATTTCATTTTTATTGTTGTTGGATTTTAATTTACAAACAGAGTTTCAATTTTTGGTATTGAAAATTCAAACAAATTTAAAATTGTATTTTTTTATAAAACTCTGTGTCAAAGAATAAATAAGAAATGAAACTGTTGTCAAAAGTACCTAAGTCTACTGTCAACCGGTTCCTAACTCTAAGAATGTATTAGTAGTATTCTCAAGTCAACATAGTTGCAAAAAATCGTATTGAAAAATATTGAAAAAAATATTACATTTCAATTTATACTTTGAAAGGTTTCTTACGATATTTTCCACATATTTTATCTACAAACATTTTATAAACACGTCTATTTGTTTTTTAATCTATAATATTGAAAAAATAAATTATTTATTTGAAATATTTTTTCGTTTACCATACGAAAATTTACAACATTGTTTTTTTAGTTTTAATTTCAACCAACAAAAATTCGGGCTATTAAATGTGTTTAAATTGTGCAAAAAAATTATAAAATATAATGTTAAGTGATAAAAAATATTTCAAAGTGCTATTATCCTCAAATTTTCGCGAAAAAGTTTTGAAGTTTGGAGAGAGAATAAAATTTTTACATATGTGTTGGATTTACACAGCACTCGTCTGTGAGAAGAGCGTA